CATTGTACGACTGAAATATAATCACAAAAGTTTGCAAGTCTGTAACTGCATCTCACAGTGATTCATTAAAAAATTAAAAAATTAAAAAAATTTAAAAAAAGAATGTATACCTCAGGGAGGATGAAGGATAAATGCAGGTTAAAGATGAAAAAACAAAACAAAACAATATTTTTTGGCCACTGTAATGACAGCTCAACAGTAAGCCACAATAGAGCAGCTTTATTTGTATATTTATTCCAGTTATTGGCATACCCAGCATTATATTTGTAGTCTTTTGTTTGTTGGTTGTCAGGTTTGGGGACCACACTTCAGGGGCTACCTGGCTTGGTGCTCAGTGCTCACTCCCCGCAGTGCTCAGGGGATCATATGATGCCATCCATTCAATCCTGAACGCATTCCATGTACCCTCGGATATCTCCCTCCCATTTGTATCTGCTTTATCTTCCCAAGTAAATAATAATCTCCTCCTCTTGAAGGAAGAATCCTGTACTTAATGATTTCGTATCTTCCAAACTAGATGACATTCAGCCTTGTTTATGCAAGTCATTGACAAATGTTTGTGGAATGAGTAAATAAATGATGACGAGATAGAATGTCTAGGGGTTTTATTTTTGCTTTTTGGTTTTCCTGGCATCTGCAAACTTTTCCTGTGAATCTCAGTGGGAGACACGGTTTCATCATCCATAAGGGAAGCCAAAGATACCTCAAGTTTTCCTTTTTTTCTCCACTTGGAGTAACACAAAAGCAACAAGAATCTTGGCTTAGTCATTTGGATGCTGCCCCCAGGTTTTTAAATCTTGGGCTAATTGTATCAGGCACAGAGCAGGAGTCACTGAAGATGGCATCACGGAGCGGGGTTGTGGGGTTGTGGCTCCAGCTGGAATGTCCTTGTAACTTTGGCCGAGACGCTTGGTTATATTTTCTGAGCCCGATCAGCTGTTTCCATCAACTCTGAGGATTACACCAGAACCTCCCATTCTATTTATTTCCCCCTCCAGTCGGAAAAAATTGTTTTTGTGTTTTTCAAGGGCTGCTCCTGGCTTGATGCTTGAGGGTTGCTCCTAGCCGTGCTTGCTCCCCCTCCCCCCACTGCCTGCCCCTGGGTGCTACATTCTAGCCTCTGGCCTCAATTTATCTCTCTGGCTCAGAGTTGTTCACTACTTCGAATCTTGACATACCTCTAAGATGAAAATTTGGGGAGGAGAAAGCAGGGGTTCTACTTTATTCTTCGCCAACTTCTGTGCTGCTACTATTGTCATATTACTTCTATTGTTGGCAACATAGACTTTCAGGGGCCAGAGATATAGTACAGTGGGTAGGACACTGGCCCTGCAGGCAGCCAACCCAGACTCAGTCCTGTCGCACAGAGCCAGGAGTAAGCCCTGAACACTGCCAGTTGTACCTCATCCCAAAGGGCTTTTCTGGTCTTGGGGTCACACCGAGCAATGCTCAGAGGCTACTTATGGTTCAGTGCTCACTACAGTTCAGGGTTACTACAGTGATGCCAAAGGGGCCCACATGCAGTGCCAGGAATCAAACCCAGACCTCCTGCCTGCAAAGCATATGTAGAAATTCTCTTTCTGGCCCTAAAAACATTTTTTGTTTGCTTGAGGGTCACTCCTGGCAGTGCTCAGGGAGAAGTCCTGGCTCTGCACTCAGGAATCACTCCTGGCATGTTTAAGAGGACCATATGTGTTGCTAGGGATTGAACCTGGGCCAGTCATTTGCAAGGCAAATTTCTTTACCCCTCTACTATCTCTTTGGCCCCGAAAATGCTTTCTAAAGCACAGTTGAATGAAGAAAATTGATTAAAAGGTGAAATTTGCGAATAAGGATTGGGCTAGATTGTACCAGGCTTTGAATACTGTTTTGAGGATTCTGAATTGAGTGCAACAAGTCAAGAAAATTTGAAAATCAGAACATTGCCATGAGTAGATCTAAGTTGGGTTTTTTGTTTGTTTTTATTGTCACATTGAAGACACTAGAAATCAGAGAAATTCGAGACCAGGCAAACAATTAGGAGCTGGTGATTGCAACAGTACAGATGAAAGATTGAGAAAATGTCTTGGTTCCCGGAGACAAAGAGAGTCCATCATGGTTGGGTATTCTGGAAGCAGAAACAGAGAGTTTGCAAGCTATCTCCTTGGGATGAGCAGAAGTGGAACCACACCCACGGTGCCCCAGCCAGGCTGGCAGGCAAGTGAGGAGAGAAAACTGAGATCAGAAGGGCTCAACCTTGGTTCCCCTGCTTTGCTGGTCCCTAGTGCCCGAATGAGGAGAGCCCCAAGATGGGCAGGATTCTGGACAGGACTGTTTGGTTTTTTTTTTTTTTTCAGGTGCAAAGATCCTCTAGGAATTGAAGCTAGAGATTATCTACTGGCCATCCTCCCTGTGTAGGCAAGCAGCAAGTTTTCCCTGGACAGCAGAACAGGGCGGCACAAATCAGTGCCTAGCTCAGCTTACCACAGAGAAAGGGGAAGAATGATGATGTTGTAAACTAACGCAGTGCGGGTGGAATGGCTTCTATGGAGTCCACATTTTCCAGGGGGCTGAACAGTAAGTCAACAAAGGTTAACACAGGTCTCTACACTGATGGGCCTTGATGATAGCCTAGTTAGTGGACAATAGAAGAGGAAACAGGCCTGGGCGATACAAAAGGAATTTAGTTTTGGACATGTTTCTAAAATGTCTGCAAAATACTAAGGTAAAGATGACTTGTGAGAATCAATGCAAGGAGGTGGTGGGAAGGTGTAAAGGTGGTGGGATTGGTGTTAAAATACTGAATATATTCAATTATTGTGAACAACTTTATGATATTAAAATTAGAAGTAAGTAAAGTAAAGGCCCTCCCGTTGATCATCAATTTGCTCGAGCGGGCCCAGTAACGTCTCCATTGGAGACTGTGTTGTTACTGTGTCTGGCATATTGAATACGTCACGGGGAGCTTGCCAGGCTCTGCCGTGCAGGCGAGATACTCTCGGTAGCTTGCCGGGCTCTCCCAGAGGGGCGGAGGAATTGAACTCAGGTCGGCCATTTTGGCTGCGTGCAAGGCAAACGCCCTACCGCTGTGCTATCGCTCCAGCCCCATATTAAAATTAAAAAATTAAAATGTAATAAGACAAAAAGATCAATGCAAAGGGAGAGACAGTATAGGGGAGATAGTATAGGGGAGTACAGAGCTTAAGGTGCTTGCCTTGTCTGTGGCTGAACTGTTTGATCTTCAGTACCACATATGCTCCTCTAAGCACCTTCAGGAGTGAATCCTAATCACAGAGCCAGGAGTAAGCCCTGAACACAGCAAGCCATGGCACAAAATAAAAAGCTAAAAGCAAATGGGTGGTGAGCAGTAAATGCTTATATGTACTAATACGTATTATCATATTGTACCATATTATGAATGTTTGGGTTTTTAGGTCACACCCAGCAGTGCTTAGGTCAGGGCCTACTCCTGGCATTATGTTCAGGGGTCACTCCTGGCAATGCTCAGGGACACAGATCATGCTGGAGATGGAACTGAGGTCAGTCTTGTACAAGTCTAGCATCTTTTCTCTGGACTTAGCTCTCCAGTACCTATATTATCTTATTTATTCACAATGCCTTTTTGAGGTAAGAAAATGTTTATTATATACTTTTTGTATATCTTCTTATACCATTGGTTTATTAAAAAAAAACTGAAACTTGAAGAAATTAAATGACTAGTTCAAAGAAGTCAGACTTGAATGTGTCTGACAACAAAGCAGATAATCTTTTTTTTTAAAGAAGCCAATTTTATTTATTTATTTATTTATTTATTTTGGGGGCCACACCCAACAATGCTCAGGGGTTACTCCTGGCTTTGCACTCAGGAATTACTCCTGGCAGTGCTTGGGGGGACCATATGGGATGCCGGGGATCGAACCCCAGGTCCGCCGCGTGCAAGGCAAACGCCCTACCCGCTGTGCTATTGCTCCAGCCCCCAAGGTAGATAATCTTAAAGATAAAATTAGATTGAATCTCCGTGGAATCTGCCGCAGAGAGATGCTATTTGAAGACACTGAAATGAGCAGGTTATCCAGAAAGATCTCAATTGAAAGGGATTCCCCCCAAAATGGAATTCAGGGGCCCATAGTACAGTGGGTAGGGTGCTTGCTTTGCATGCGGCCAAACAAGGTTTGATCGCAGGCATTCTATATAGTCCCCTGAGCACCATCAGGAGTGATCCCTGAGCACAGAGCCAGTAGTAAGCCCTGAGCAGCGCTGGTGTGGCCCAAAAACAAAAACAAAATATAATTTTTTTAAATGAATTTAAAGGAAGTCAACATTTTCAAGGTGAACTGAGTGAAATGGGTTGAACAAAGGAATTGTCTGAAAGGCCAGTTTCTATAAATTACAAGTATCGTATCTCAGATGTAAGGGTTAACCATCTGAGGTAGATAGGCTAGAGAGATCGCTCAGAGGGGTGGAGCACATTCATTATACGCAGGAGCCCTGGGTTCTATCACTGGCACCTCATGGTCCCCTGAATACTGTCAGGAACAATCACCAAGCACTAAGCTAGGAATATTCCTTAGGCACTGCCAGGAATTTGTTTTTCCAGATTGAAAAACAAATGAGAAGGGCTAGAGAGATAGTACAGCAGGTAGGAAGTTTGCCTTGACAACATAGCCAACCCAGGTTCGATCCCTGGCATTCCATACAGTCCCTTGAGCACAACCAGGAGTAATTCCTGCAGAGCCAAGAGTAGCCCCTGAGAATCACTGGGAGTGATCTAACCTCCACCCCCCTCCCAAATAAATAGTGAGCAATGAGAAATGTTGCAGATATTGGGAAGGATGAAGGTCTCCTGATTAGAGGTCACTGATGATCTTAGAGAGATTTATAGGTAAGTCAGACTGCAGGGGGTGAAAGTGTGAGTTGATACGAGAAAGGGGAAACAAAAAAAAAAGCTGCCTTTCTGGAAGTTTTACCAAGTAGAGGAAATCATAATGCTTAACAATCAAAATGCAAGGAATTTATTGGTTTTATGAATAAGTTGGATAATTGTTAACTCCTTGCTCCCACATTGCTTGGAATTTACACTCCCACCACTTTTCTGTTTCTTTCTACTTGCGTTAGACCAGGGTCCCTCTTGCATCTGACTCACCTGGCAACACTGAGCATGGTTTCTCTTGGTCGTGGATGGTCTGGTCTATTTTCTGAATTTTTCAGGTGATTCCTTCTGTAGCTGGAGGATGGACCACATACACCCCAGCCCTCACCCTCACTCCATTCTCTTTCAGGCATAAATTAGCATTGCCTTCTTGGACCCATTCTGCACAGCATGCAGTTCTGATGTGCTTAGCAAGTACTGTTTCCCTAGTTTCTTTGCCTCCCCTTGCCCAAGCTCTGGGTGGGAAGATCTGGGAGAGAAAAGGTACTGCCACTCCAAGACTTCTGGGCTGTCATGTCCCCGTGGGGGACTCTGGTTCTGCAGTCAGCTGAAACCCTCCCATGTTAGCCCCCCTCAGTTCAGCCCTATGACAGAGGGAGCTGCAGAGTCCCTAACACCGCCGTCCACCTGTGCACAGGAAGATGCCAACAGCCACACCAGCAATGATGAAACAACCCATCAGGACGCCCAGGACCAGCGAAGTGTAGGAGCGGCCTTTTTGGCTGCCTGCAGAAAATGAAGAACCAATGTCTTTGACTTGGCGATCCCCCAGGCCCCTCCCCAGGATTTCTGCCCCCAAAGAAGGTACCAAATGACTTAAGCTGTGTGTGCTCTGACCCAAACCTCCAACCCTGGGGCCTCTCTTTCTGGAGGCATCATTGCCTGCCCGGCTGAAAGTCCTCCCTACCTGCCCCGTCCTTCACGCTGCTGTGTTCCTGCACATACTGCACACACGTGTCCTGCAGAAACTCTTGCAGCTCAAACCGAGTCCGGTTGTAGGCGTTGAGCTGCTGCAGGGTGTAGGTGGCCACGTTGGAGGTCTTGCCGGATCGTGCCACCCACAGGGCTGTCTCGGGCTGGAAGCTCACAAAGGCGCTCCCATTCACGGTCACATCGAAGAAGGCGCTGGCTTTGGAACCCTCCGTCGGCAGCTCACAGCCGAGGGAGCAGCGAACAGTCATGGGAACTGTGGGTAGTACTCAGGGTCAGGGATGTGTGGACAAGGGAATTGGGTGTGAAGGAAGCCCACCAGGGGCATATGAGGTGGGGGTATCTTGGATTAGATACTGGACAGCAGGGCTCTGTGAGGAGAGACCAGAGGCTTAGAAGGTGGAGCTGTGTGTGTGTGTGTGTGTGTGTGTGTGTGTGTGTGTGTGTGTGTTATGAGAGAAAGGAGTTGGAGGAAAAAAACTGAGAGCTTTGAATGTCTTTTAGTTTTTCATTTAGTATTTGTTTGGGGGCTATGCTTGGCTGTGCTCAGTGGTGACTCCTGGCTCAGAGATCACGCTGGGACTATATGTGGTGCTGGGGATTGAACCTGTGTCAGATGTCTGCAGGTTAAATGCCCTACCTGCTATATACTATTATTCCTGCCCCTAGTTTGGAGTGTGGATCTGACTCAGTGGTACTCAGAGACTTCTGACTCTGTGCTTGGGGGCTGCTCCCAGCAGTATTGAGGGATTGAACTGGGCTTCCTCCCCATGAGCCACTTCTGTGAGAGGAAGAATTTGGGGGAGTGTGAAGAGAGGGACTCTCTAAGGGAGGGGGACAGCTGCTGGGAGAAAAGAGGTTAGAGACTGAGGGTAAAGGCCTCGGGTGGGTGTGAGGGGAGGAGGGATCTGAGGAGGAGTCAGGTGACTCTAATGTGAGGGACTGGAAGTCTTCCATGAACTTTTGTGGGGTCAGGGCGGCTCTGGCACGGGACCTCCAAACAGGGTCCACCTCGATACCATGCCAGCAGGAAGGGTCTCCCCCACTTCCTGGACGATCCCACTCCAGACCGTGCCAGCAAGGTTCCCCACTCTCTCCAGCCTAGAACTCCCACCAGCAATCAGCGCGGGTCAGCGTCCAAGAGCCCCGAGAAGCTGGGATGCTCTGCATAGGACCAGGCTCACCGCGGGGCGGGGCGACCATCCTTAACCTGATCCTTTGTCCAGGCCCCGCCCCATCTCCCTTAAGACCTGCCTCCCCCAGAGACACGCCCCGCCCATAGGCCACGCCCCCGCCGCCCAACCCAGGGACCCTCCTCTGTGCCTCCCTACTCACAGTCCAGGTGGCGCTCCTGGTGCACCAGCCTCACTAGGCTGTAGAACTGCTGGATGTAGAGTCGTAAGCTTTCCTCCATGATCGCCCAGCTCTCCGGGTCCTGCAAAGGCTGCAGCTGGACGAACGTGACATTGGTGCCCCAGCCTTCCAGTTTGTGCGTGGGAAGCCCCCCGAGCGACGCGTTGCCGTGATGCCACACTTGATTGGGGTTGCGGAAGTAGGAGATCTGGAGCATGTGGAGATTCTGTGGGCCTGGGGGCAGAGGTCAGCGCGTTGGGGCCTAGGCCAGCGTAGGAGGGGTCAGCGTGGAGCGGTAGATAATAATCCCCTACCCAGAGGCAGGCCGCCCACCTTCTCTGCCCTATATAAACTATAAAGTGCCTTCCCACACAGCCTCCCACTGGGCACCCCCTGTAACTGTGTCAGGAAGACAGGATAGGGGTTATTAGCTTTGTTTTACAGATGGGGAAACTGAGGCCGGAAGGGCAAACAGCCACTTGCCCCAGGTTATTCCTGTCAGTGAAGGAACCTCTCTGGTCTCCTTTCTCTCTCTCCTTCCTCCTCCGTTTCCGGTTGACCTGCAAATACTGACCCATACTACAATCCGAACTCCATCTTCTATTCTGAGTTTCTTTTGCCACCTCCCTCCTTCAGTTCTCCATGCCTGTGGTCCGGATTAGAGAATTAACTAACTTCCTCACCTTTAACCCTGACACTTCCATTCCACCCCTTCTAATCTGACCTCCAGTTGACCAGGAGTCAGAGCCTCTGATGGGACCCCTCCCTCCAACATTACTAATGATGACAGCTGAGCGATGGGCACTGTGCTCATTAGCTTGTTTGTGCCCTCCTCCCCGAGCTCAGGGCGGTGACCACTATGATTAACCCCCTCGACAAGGGAAATAGCCTGCAATGGTAAGGCAGTGGAGGTTTGAACGGAGGGAGTCTGAGTCCCTCACTTTGGGGGGGGGGGCATAGAGGTGGGAGGAGGGTAGCCACACAGGGAAACCAATCCAGTGGGGGCTCCGGAGGCCTTGTGGTGCTGGGGGTCAAACCAACAGGCACTTTAGCTAGTTGAGGAAATTAGCCCTCGGGAAGAGGACAGTCCAAGTCCCTAGTCCAAGTCTACCACTTTGGCGGTGGAGGGGGAGTTGGGCTGCGGGTGGTGCTCATGGGGCTATTCCTAGCTTGGTGCTCAGGGGGACCTCTGAGGTGCCAGGGATTGAACCAGGGTGGGCCCCATGGAGGGCAATTGTGTTAACCACTATACTGTGGCTCCAGTCCCCATGTCTATCATTCTTAGCTGCTCAGTTGTCCTGCCTCCACTCAACTCTCTCTCTCTCTCTCTCTCTCTCTCTCTCTCTCTCTCTCTCTCTCTCTCCCCCTCTCTCTCTTTCTCTCTCTGTCTCTCTCCCCACACAGTCAAGTCTAAAATTGCAGGAGCCCAGGCTCCACCTGCCTCTCTCACCCCTTCCCTGCACTTCCACACAGCAAACAACTTGCAGGTATGCTGGTATGCGGGCAGCCGCAGGGCCTTCTCCCCTCGACCCTCCTAGACTTAAAAAATTCCCCACGTCTTTGTACCCATCTCCATATGCCCTGACTGCTCTGGGCTCCTCTACACTATCACCAATTCTGATTACTCCACTGCCATCGACACCCGGGAGGGATTTGGCCCAGAGTTAGTGCCTGGAGCCCACCTGAGGAGGGGTGAGTCTCGGCTGTGCCTTGGTGTGTCTGGTTCGTGCCTGCGGGTATGGGAAGGTCTGTCTGTGTGGGGGAGCCTGGCGGGATGCTTAGCAGAGCTGCCTCCCACCCATCTTCTCTATGAGATGGAGCGGCCAGCGGTTTTTTCACAGGGGCTGTGGGGGTCATTCCGGAAGTGAGGAGCCCTCCCAGAATCCATGTCTTTATTTGTTCCCTGTCTGAGCAGGAGGATAGCCCTGCAGAGGACAGGGCAGGTCACCTGTGCCTGGAGTGCAGGAAAGTCACTTCCCTTTTCTTCTGACTTGGAGCCGCTCGAGGTGGTCCCCAAATCCCCGTGGAGTTTTCCCACAGATCTCAACTTCTCCCACCCAGGAACGGCCCCCCATCATCTTCCCACCCCTTCTCCACACGCCCCTTCTGCCTCCTGCTCATCTTATCTGGGCCACGAGCTTTTCCTCCTCCTTCTCCCAGGGTCTTCCATTCCTTCCACTTCTCATCTCATCTCTGAGTCTGTCTCCATCTTCCCTGAAGTCACCCCAGTCAACTGCCGGACGCCGGTGCCCCTCTTCAGACCCCCGTCTCTCTATCCTCCCCCCGGAGGGCTAATTTCCTCACCTTTCTACCCACTCCTTTCCCAGTTCCAGCCTCTGCCAGGCTCCCTTTCCACTGGCCCCACCGTGACCTTCACACCTTAACTCTGGGCCACCCCCCACCCCCCACCCCCCACACACAGACACCACCACCACCATCACCACCACCACATACCACACACACACACACACACACACACACACACACACACACACACACACACACACCAGACAGAACGCTGAGCAGTGCTGACCCGCCTGTCCCCTGGAGCGCTTCAGTTGCCTGTGGCATGGGTTCTCCGGTTTTGCCCGGAGACCGTCCCGGGGACAGCCACCAACACCGAGGCAGAAGCGTGCCTGACTCACCCTCCGAGGCTTCCTGGCCGCAAAGGGCCCCGCCAGGCAGGAGAAGTAGAGGCAGCAGAGACAGCAGCAGCGGCGGCGTCAACATCCTGGGGCTGACCGTCTGAACCCCACCTGGATACGGCAGTCTGGGGACTCGGCTGCAGGGAGAAGCGAGGGCTGTCCGGGGACGAGGCTGAAAGGTGGCCAGTGGGACGGGAGGAGAATGAGGGCGGCGGGCTTATAAAGTGTTATTCCTCCCCCCGGCTCATTTCCTACTCCGGGGCCGGCCCTCACTTACCCTCCCTCCGCCCCCGCTCCGCCCCGCCGCTGCAAGCACCCTCCTGCCCTGACCTGACTTTTTCCTTTCCCTGCCCTGCTGCCGAGGAATCTTCGGGAGCGGAAAAGGGGGAGCAGTGCTGGGAGAGAAGTCCTGCCCTCTCTGAGTCAGAGGGTGGGGCATCTGCTTCCAACTTTGCCCTGAAGGATCCACAGGTTCCGAAAGGGGAAACTGAGGGCCAGGGAGCTGCAAAGGACTTGCCCAAAGTTTATTCCCCACAACGAGACAGATCAGGGATGGGAATTCAATTTTCTGATGGAATTTAGTTGCATCAGAAGTGTACATAGATTGCAGTGAACTACCCAGTCAGGAGTGTCGCAAAAGCAGTACCAACTGAGAACAGAACCTCTTGGTCACAAAGACACCCTTGTCATAGGAAAGAATTACGAACACCCTAAATCTCACCAGAGGACTGTTTTTCCATGTGCGAAAGCCTAGATTTGATTTCCAGAACAAAAATAAATTAAAAAATTTTAAAAATTCTCTTTTCCAACTTCAAGTCACAATCAATTAGTAAGCAATGACTACAATTTAGCAGGTCATAATGATCAGGGCTTTATTACTTAAAAAAATGAAATAGAAATTTCAGTGCATTGCCTTTTCCATGAAATACTTGTTTAGCTGTATATACGTGTGTGAGTGTATATGTGTTTTCGCTTTGGGTGCATGTGTTTCATGAGTTTTTTTTGTTTGTTTGTTTGTTTGTTTTGGGATGACATCCAGTGTGCTCAGGGCTTATTCCTGGTCTGAGCTCAGGGATTACTCCCGTTGGGGTCAAGGGGACCATATATGGTGCTGGGATCAAATCCAGGTCAGCAGCATGTAAGGAAGTGCCTTACTCGCTGCACTATCTCTCTGGCCACTGTTTCATTGGTTTTGCAAAATGTTAAGATACACTTTATATAGGGCTAGAGTGATAGTACAAGAGGTAGGGCATTTACCTTGCATTCAGCTGACCCAGATTCGGTCCCCAGCATTCCATATGGTCCCCCGAGCACACTAAGAATAATTCCCAAGTGCAGAGCCAGGAGTAACCCTTGAATATAGCCGGGTTTGACTCAACCCCATTCCCCAGAAAAATCCCCAAACAAAAAAATAAAAAGTGTATCTTACTCAGGAAACAAATAGAAAATATTCCCATTTTCAAAATTTATCTGTTTCTTTAGAAATACATACATATGCATATTATATTTCTTCCTGCATTTTTATTGATTTATTATTAGTTTACAGTATAATACGATTTCAGGGGTATGGCTCAACTCCTCTATACTTGAGAGGACACGTGAACATAGCATTCCCGCCACAAAAGTTCTAATGCCATACAATGACCATAAAGACCCTCTACTATGTAATCAAATATTGTGAATTACTTTACAAAAAAAATTAAAAAGACCCTCTATCTATCTCTCCTATATGCTGCAAATAGAAAATTCTGAAAGTAATTTCCCCAAACTATGGAAATCTATAGCACTGTAGTATTGTTCATCAATTTGCTTGAGCGGGCACCAGTAACATCTCCATTATGAGACTTGTTGTTACTGTTTTTGGCATATCGAATATGCCACGGGGAGCTTGTCAGGTTCTGCTGTGCGGGTGGGATACTCTCGGTAGCTTGCCTGGCTCTCTGAGAGGGGTGAAGGAATCGAACCCAGAAACGCCCTACCCGCTGTGCTATTGCTCCAGCCCCTGGCAGTGCTTGTTGAGAGTTGCCTCGGTGCTCACATGTGTCTCACCAGGGGCTATGATTCTTGGCCTGGAAATCACACAGCTTTGTATTGTGCTCACCAGAACATACCCTTTGTAGGTGAGCTTATACACCCCTTTGAGGGTCAGTTTATACCTTCCTGACAAAGGTACATCTAGAAATCCTGCAGTACCCAAGGTCACTGTCGATCTGGGATCCCCGTGGAGCTACCAGTATCACACTGTGGGACACCAGGGATTTGAACTAACTCTGTGCTTGCAAGACAGATGGTCTGAGCCACTGCCCTACTTCTCTGGGGCTTGAATTTCATCTACCTTTATTTTAAGATATTACTTCCATCCAAGTGAAATATACTTCATCCCATTCTTATATTCATAAAGGATGAGAGTATCAGAATATTTATATATGCAAAGAGAAATGACTGGAAGGATAATGCCTGAGATGATGCCTGAGGGAATAGGATTAGATTAGGGTGGAGGATAGTTAACTTTTTATTTTCTATACTGTTCTTTGGAGGGAAAACTAAAGTCCTGGTGGAATCAGGGCCAGCTCTAGATTTTTGTCAGGCTCCCAGCCTTGAAGTCTAGTACATAGGCATGAGTTGTCCTTGTCACCTCTCAGCAGCACACTAGCTTAGAAATAATATCCAGGTTCCTTTACCAGTTCATCAAAATGGTCTAGTGGGGAGAATGGGACTCAGGAAATGAAAGAACTCAAATCATTGATAATTATAGTGTCTTCACTTTTGTGAAAAATTGTCCTGGACTTGGGGGCTGGAGTGATAGCACAGAGGGAAGGGCGTTTGCCTTGCACGTGACCGACCCGGGTTCGATTCCCAGCACCCCATATGGTCCCCTGAGCACTGCCAGGAGTAATTTCTGAGTGCAGAGTCAGGAATAATCCCTGTGCATTGCCGGGTGTGACTCAAAAAGAAAAAAAAATGTCCTGGACTATTCTATGTTTGGAGAATTTTATTGCAACTTAATAAAATATTACAAATAAAAAGGAAGTCTCTTCAGTTGTGTTTCTCTCCCTCCACCCTACCATTAGCTGGAATCTACTACTCTTCCTTTCCTTACATTTCTATACATGTATGCTATGTATGTGTATATAGCTAAGCATTTGGCAACTTTTGTTTTTGTATCGTTGGTTGGTTGCTTGGTTGGTTTTTGGGTTTTGGGCCATACTCGGTGATGCTTAGGGGTTACTTCTGGCTCTGTGCTCAGGACTCAGGAATAACTCCTGGCAGTGGTTAGGGGATCATATGGGATCCCAGAGATAAAACTCAGATCAGCCGTGTGCAAGGCAAGTGCTCTACCTGCTGTACTATCTCTCCAGCGCAACTTGGTTTGGTAGTTTTTTAAAAATATATATTCATAAGATTCCTCTATGCTGTTTTAGGTCCATTAATTCTCACTTCTTTATAATACGCCTCATTAGAAATATACCATATTTATCTATTCTCCTGTTGTTAGACATAAAAGTGTTTTTCAGCACTCTTACCAACAAGGCTGCTATGAACAGTCTGGTACATGTTTTCTTGCGCATATGTGGGACAATGCACATATATTTGTGTTTGTTTCTTTCCCCTGGTTTGTATCTAGACACTGCGATTTAGAACACTGTTCCCAATCATTTCAGGCATACAGTGTTCCCACACCACACCCACGACCAGTGTCAGTGTCCCTCCGTCAATGTCTCAAGATTCCCCCCACCTCTGCCTCACACCCTTGGCCAACTCAGTTCTGAAGGCAGACTCTCAGAATCTGTTGCCACTGGTCATTTGTTATGCTCTTACTAGTTTCTTTGTATTTCTCATATGAAGGAGATCATTCAGTATTTCTCCCTCTCCCTCTGACTCATTTTACTCAGTCTGATATGCTCCAGTTCCATCCAAGCTGCAGTGGGTTGCAGGTCTTCATCTTTTCTTAGAGCTAAGCCATTTTCCATTATGTCTACATACGCAGCTTCTTTATCCCCTTGTCTGTTTGAGGGCACTGGGGTTGTTTCCAAATCTTGGTTATTATGAATAGCACTGAAATGAGCATAGGCGTATAAGACATATTTTGGAATTATCTGTTGGGGGCTCTTTGGGTAGATGCCAAGAAGTCAAATTACTCTTCATATGAAGCACAATTCTTAATTTTTTTTTGACAGGGGGGATGTTCTCCATAGCGGGGCTTGTGGGTTAGTTTTGTAAATGAAGAGGTGGAATTGCTGAGTCATAATATGTATTACATCTTCATTATGACTAGATATTGCTGCATTGTTTTACAGAAAGATTTCACCATTCTACCTCCCCAGCAGTGCATGAAAGTTTCCCACTCCACAATTTTGTCTACCCTTGGCATGTCAGATCGTTGGGCATAGAATGGCATTTCTTGGCTTTTACCTTGCTTTGTCTGACTCCAGGTGAATCCGAACATGTTTTTCTTTGCCTTTTTTCTTCCTCGAGGTCTTAAAGAAAGAATAAAATCGAAAGTAATGAAACAGAAGATTGGACTTACTTGGAATTGAGTGCTATGCGGATCTCTGAACACGTATTTCCAACATGCTTGGATAATTATGCTATGATGAAAAACAAGTCAGAAATTTATATCATGTGTTAACTCTTTGTGTTTATCACTTCCTCCGGAGCTGACCACACCAGCCTCATTGTTTCCATAATACAGAGGAGATCAAATTTAAAGCACAGAGAAGTTTAGCAACTTGCCCCAAGTCACACAGCTCAGAGTTTCAGGGCAGAGAATTAAAATAAAAGAGAATAAGGGATGGGATTGGGTACAGGGAGAATGAAGAGACTGTTGGGAATACGAAAACTGGGGTGAGGGGCCAGAGTACACAGAGTACATAGGACACATACTTTGTACCTGGTCGACCTGTGTTCAATCCTCAGCACCCCATAGGATCCCCTGAGCCCCCCAGGGGTGTCCCTGAGCACAGCGAAGTGTGACCCTCAAACAAGAAACAAACAAAATGAAAGAAAACTGGTGTGTGCAGAAGTTTGAGGGGTCCTGGGATTGGGGAGGTGGCAGAGGAGAATCGCTTGGAGCAAGAGCCCCCCCCCTGCTGCATCTCCGGAAACGCCCAGGGCAGAAAACCACCAGGCAGAGTGGGCGCAGGGCCAGCGGCTG